TCCACGTTCTGTCGCTAGGAATTATAATAATTTTACTTTGCCAGAGGACTTCTGACTTCTTCTGTCCCACTAAGTCGTCCTGACATCACGTTTTCGTTGCTAAACGTGTTCCAACCTCTTCTGCACATGTTTATGCCTCACAATTCTGATGAGCTTAGCTTATACCTTCTTCGGAAAACTAATTATAATCCCATCTTTGCTGCAGCCTCGATCTCGCTTCATCGCCTCATCAGCATCAGCATCGCGATTCGGGCCTGCGTCATCCGTGCCTCCCACTGAAACCCATGTCTGCATAGAAGAGATCTCCTTATTTGTTAACCGTTTCGGTTATTGCCAAGACAAAGGCGAGTTCAAGGTTAGTCGTAGTAGGTTAGTGTATGGGAATGGTGAAATCGCCACGATGCCCACTATTCGGCTTCGAACCCCCTGGGGCTGCTGATGAGTCTAGTTCAGACGAGCTCCCTTTGTATGTAAAAGCCGTTTAGAACCAGGAATAGGTGACATTCAATTGTATTTTAACGTCCATTCATTTGTTTGTGAGAGAATTTAAGCGTCCTACTCGAATGATGATTACTCGACGGTGGTGCGGCTTCATATCCAACCAGTTCGTCCAACCAGTCTTCCCATTCAGGTGAACATTTATACCTCCTCTTTCCAGGCTCCGGCAGCCACCAGCAGAGCCCGACAACCTTTTTGTGCCAAGCAGGCTTAGTCAAGCTGTTATTTCCCTCTGGATCCTGCTATGAAATAGAGTAATACTAATTTACAGCAATGTTTTCCACCTAACTAGACCGGCGCCTCTGCGGTGATTACCTGAGATGAGATACCGAGGCTGGCAGGGAGAAGCAGAAGGAGCGCAGTATGGGAGCAGCAATATGGGAGAACTCGCAATAAAGGCATATATAAATTTTTCATCGCAGAAAATTGAGCCAAAAAATCTAATTAGAACAAAGGTCTCAAACATAAAAGGAAGAAAGGAAGCAAAGCTATTATGCGGACGTTCCTAAAAGCATTTTTGCTCTTAGAGTCGGAGGAGCTTATATCCAAACAGCGCACCAGATAGTGTAAAAAAATGAAGGCTTTGATTGCTTGGTGTCCTTTGCCTATAAGTGAGAAGCTAGCATGGATTTTTAAAGATATATTAGGACAAGCATGATGCATTGCATGTCGTCTCATTAAACCAGTACAGACCCGATTATTATT